GCTAACATTTGCGAGCAAAAAGTGGACCTTAGAGTGCAATAAGGTCATGCTCTTAAGGAACCCGTTATATCACATTTTTTTAAAAATCAATACCAGGCCTCTATGTAAACCAGCATGATGTTTCTGAATACGACGGTAGCCAGATGTCTTTTGAAACTGTCAGGATATTGGACTACTGTTAAGTGCTGCCCTCACAAATCAATATTTCTCGAAAGTACATTTACTGAAAACAACCTAAGTTCACATTGGAATCTCACAAAACCACGTGTTTTCAAAAAAACCGTATTATTCAACTAAACGGATTTCCTTTTGAACTTTAAGATTTACTGATAAGTGATCAGTGGTTCTTATACTTATGGTTCGTTAAAAATAAACTGTATCATGCTCAATATTCGCACGGCACTTTTCATTAGGTTCAACCTATACGAACTACTGGCTGATTCTGAGAAAAAGTAAGGATGCAGTCTTTTGCATGTGCAACTAGAACTATAAGTATGACAAATCTTATCATTTCTTCTTCAAGGTCAATTTCGAATAACTTTTCTCCTTTATAACTTACATTTATGAGATGTTTAAAATAGTGAGGAATATCTGGTTAAAAAAAAGGAAAAAACTTGGAAAAAACTTCAGGTACAACACATACAAGTTACACTACACAAGCCCTTGCATTTAAGTCAACGAAAAACCTGACTTTTTATTAAGCTGTTGACAATTTCAAAAGAAGTTCCGTCAAATTATCAAGAATCTACTAACACCTCTAATAGATTTGTACCAGAATGTCTAAGAAAAATCTCCTTTGTTGTTTGCTGTAGGAGACTGGGAGAAAAACTTTTAAAAAAGCTCATCATTTTGGGAACATAAGGGTTGAATATTTTACCTTCAGATGCCTTCATAGAACCAATCATCGTTTTCTTATAGTTGTCAAAGTTATGGGATCCATAAAAACCTCCAGAAGAGTTCCTTTGAATCGTTCGTTGAAGAGTTGCACGTGAGGTTAGTAATGCACGGCTTAGTCCAGACATTTCTAAATGCGCTTATACAGAAACAATGCTAGTATTCCCTCTAATGATGGTAAATGATAGCAATATTCAAATGAACAGGATCCCAGAGATAGTTGTGCAACTCTAATGAACAAGGAAGGACGAATTCTAAAAGAAAGAAAAATATGTAGTGATTAGGAACGAGAAAAGTGGTGAAAAGCATGGAAAGGGATGAAAAGTTCTCTATCTTCTAACAAAGTTTATCGGCACATCGCAGTAGATTGATTTTTTTAAAGTAAAGACACGGTTCGAGAGCCGCAAACACATGACCCTAGGAAAAAGTGCACGTGTTAAGGCAAAAAGTGCAATCTCTCAAAGGAGAACACACGGACAACAACAGACGACTCGATACCTCTTTTTCCCTTGTTTTGACCACAAAATCGTTCCGAAATTCCAAGCGCGATGTTACATAGAAAAAAGCTAAATAAAGAGTGTTCCAATTATGTTAACACAACCGGACGCTTTTTTATTCGACATTTGTGGTGCAATATCTGCAGCTGCGACTGGGTTGCGCGGTTCAGTGATCTGCGCAGGACCGCTGGTTATCGGTTCGAATTATGAACACTGTCTTTACTTTATTGCTACTTTGTCCACATATCCCAAGCATCTACATTTGAAAGTAGTAGCATCGAACAGGGCTGAAACAAAGGTATGAGAATTCCTGGTAAAGCGGTGCTGAATTGAAGAAGTTGAACACAAGAACAGGTGTCTCAAGATCCTACACATTCTTGTGAAGTTCCTCTACTACCTATTTTTTCAAATCAAGACAAATGTCTGAGTCCAGCCCAAGTTTTTCGTTGATTGTCTATAGCTTTAACAGGTCGCTTACTTGTATTAAGACTATGTTCGGCTTCTGCTCTACTGTATTTTGCACTTTTATACGAGCATTGGCAATATATTAAATGGGTAGATCAGAACTCCTAGTACAAATGCGGTACACAATTAGTGTCACAACGCCTTCATTTTTTTTACCGTAACCCTTGTGAACCTTACCTATCTACCGTTTGTTTACAGTAATGCATCAACGTACGGAGCAATTGAACCTATATCTAGCAAGTCAGTTAATTCTATCACACAGTTTTTAAATTGGCTAATGCGCAGAACAAGACAATTTGCGGAAAATTACCGCCACAATCCTTTGGTCTCAGAGAAAAAACCTGAAAAATACATTAGAGGTGTCAATATTGACGAAGAAGGCAGCATTTCTAGAAAACTGTGTGATGTATTATCTGAAAGACTAATTTGCTCCACAGAAGAATTAGAATGGTCCCGACAGTATAATTTCTTTTATGTCGACCGTTACTAAAAAAATCGAGTAGTGCTCAAACAAACCACGTGTAAACTAGCTGAACCGCTTAATACGCGACATCCCGTTCCTCTATTCTTGTCTCAGGGAT